TCTCACCCAAGATGGCAGGTCCTGGAGCAGCCGAGCGTCCTCGACTAGAAAGCAATAGATTTCTTGCTTCTGCCACAGATTCTCCTAGTTGTAAACCTTCCAACCTTCTAAATATTCCTTTATATGTGGTTCAGAGTTCTGGGACCATCCCCCGAGCCTGCTTGGTCGGGTATTCTGTGTTGTTGTTGGCAGAGCTCTTTAGTACAAGTCCACCCGATCCGCCATCTTGTTTGTTCCCTTATTCTTTTTATAATAGTGTTTTAAACTTCAGGTCTTGAGCCATAAGTAGACCATGAAATCAATTTACTGGCTTGTGACTTTCATTTAAAAAAAAAAAAAAAGTAGAAAAGAAAGTATCAGACTATATACAGTGAGGATAAATATTTTCATAACTTTTATTTTCATTATTTATATCTGTGTATGTACTGGGTCACAAGAGAAATAGGTTTTTTTTATGTTGGGTGGAGTCTTGGTGTGCCACTGTAGGATAAGCACTGGACTGCAAAGTGGATTTGAATCTCAAGGTCTGCAGTTCAAACTCACCACCCGCTCCTCAGGAATCCTGTACAGGGTCATTATGAGTCGGAACCGACTCCACAGCACATAACAACACTGTTGTTGTTGTATGTTGTAGAGTTGATTCCAACTCTTAATGAACCTTTATGAAGCTTCTGAGAAGGGACTGGTGAGCTTGAACTGCTGACCTTGCAGGTCAAACCAGCCTTGTAGTCCAGCACATTAACCGGAGACAGCATAGGTTTTCTTCTTCTAGATATACCTCAGGCCATATCCTGTTTCTACTTCCTAAACCTGTATCATGGTGTTGCGCTATTGGATGATAAACACTGGACTGCTAACCACAAGGTTGACAGTTCAAACCCACCAGCCATTCCTCAGAAACCCTATACAGGATTGCTCTGAGTTGGAACCGACTTGATGGCACTTACAATATCAACAGCCACAACTCCTAAAACTAAGCTTATTTCATAGGAGTTCCTTCACTGACCTCAACAAAGACAGGATTTTTTTCTTACTATTCTGGACTCATATTGAAAACATCTGTATATAATCAATAATTCACCTTTGGCCTTGTAAGCATGACCCCTCATTGCACTGCCAGACTTTAAAAGACATGCTTCCTTTCATTTACTAGGGGAGTGGGCCTTCTTCAGTACAGGGTCTTAAGACTTCTCCGCAGATGGTAGTCCTTTCCAGCTCTTTTGTGACAAGCTCTGTTGTTCCTTTCCAGGTGGTGATAGGAGACAAGGTTGTCCTGAACCCTGTCAATGCTGGCCAGCCCCTACACGCCAGCAGCCATCAGCTGGTGGATAACCCAGGCTGTAATGAGGTAAGAAACATCAATTGACGGAAGTGGGTGGGGTTTGCTGCAAGAGCAGGCATTCCTGGGGCCAGAGCTCATGTGTGTGTGTTTGTAGTGAAAAGCATCTTTAGCACTGACTTGGAGCAGTGTGCCCATTCTGTAGGCCCAGAGTCAAGTTGTGAAAATCTGTGATGAGTGGTGGGTGAGGGCTGATACTTACCCCAGTGCCAGCTGGTTAAATACTGTGACTACTGAAGGGGTATTTTCTAACTTGTTTAGTCAGAGAGGGCCCCTTTTGCCACATTTTTCTGGCCAGTGGCACACTTTATTCTAAATTTTCTGCCTGTACAGAGTACCTTTTTCTGACTCCTAACAAAAATGTGCTTTAAGCCATCAGCAGCCCTACCAGAGTGATGTCTTGCTTGTGGGGGAAATACATCCACGTGTGGCCCGGTGGGCTTCTGCGTCAGACTGCAAAGTTGTTTGAACTGCAAAGTCAGTGGTTCAAGCTCACCAGCTCTTATACAGGGTCTCTATGGGTCGGAATCGACTCGATGTACTTAAAAACAACAACCTCTAAGTCAACAATTACACGAGACAAACACATTCACTTTGAAGTGGCAGAACATTTGCCTCATGATTAAGAACCCAAGCTCGGGAGTTGGACAGTCATGGGTTCAAAGCCCAACGCTACCATTTCTTTGTCCTGTGACCGTCATTACCTACTCTCCCCATCACATTTCCTTGTCTTTGAAATTTGGGGAGGGTGTTGTGGTGATCATTGGTATTTTTTAGGGTGTTGTGATGATCACTGGCATTTTTTTAGGGTGTTGTGATGATCATTGGTAGTTTTTAGGGTGTTGTGATGATCATTGGCATTTTTTAGGGTATTGTGATGATCAGTGATATTTTTTAGGGTGTTGCGGAGGCAGAAGTGAGATCATGAATGTTGGTACTTAGCCGGTACTTAGCCCAGGGCCTGGCTTAATGTTAGTGCAGAGGCATTGCCTGCTGCTGCCAGTGATGGTCAGGAACATTTTGGAATATATACACTGGTCTCATTTTTTTGCTTTTGCCACTCATTCTGTTTTATAGGCATTTGTTTTTATTAGGCCTTCACTTATTTTCTGAAACTTTGAGGGAAAGGAAAAATCACTTCCAGAAAGGCTGGAAGCTTGGTTCTTTAATCATAGTTGGAGCAGGCATAGTGTTGGTGAAAATGAACCATCTATTACCAAGTGCTTGTGGTGGACCTATTGAATTTATGGAGTCCTGGTGTGATGCTATAGGGTAAGCACCACGTTGATAACCATAAGGTTAGAGTTTCAAACCCATCAGCCGCTCCTCCTGCTATGAGTTGGAGGTGACTCGAGAGCATTCAACAACAACAACCTTGATCTTATTAGTGTCAGGCTTGCTTCCTGGATTGTAAGGAGGACTTTTGGGGCTGAAGGGCACAGGTGTTGTGAATGTGTTGTTGTTAAGTACCGTTGAGTCGGTTCTGACCCATAGTGACCATGTATAGGGTTTCCGAGGAGCGGCTGGTGAGCTTGAACTGCCGACCTTGAGATTCAAATGGACCTTGCAGTCCAGTATATTAACCCCAAGCATCACAGCAGGGATATAGTCCACCTGTATAACCAAGTAACTCTGACTTGTTTTCCAGGTCAATTCTGTCAATTGTAATACAAGCTGGAAAATAGTCCTTTTCATGAAATGGAATGACAACAAAGACGACATACTGAAGGGGGTAAGTGTGGACTGTCAGCACTGGACTCTTGTTGCAGCTCAAGTCAGCTGTTGGTCAGTGTGTTTTTCTGACTCCTCCTTTGTGTTGATTTTCAGGGTGATGTGGTGAGGTTGTTCCATGCTGAGCAGGAGAAGTTTCTCACCTGTGATGAGCACAGGAAGAAGCAACATGTCTTCTTGAGGACCACCGGCCGCCAGTCTGCCACATCTGCCACTAGTTCCAAAGCCCTGTGGGAGGTGGAGGTAAGGAAGGGGTGGGACAGGCGGAAGGAAAGACTCCTGAGTGTATAAGAATAAGTCACAGCCAGGCACTTATATTCCACCAATGTGTTGAGATGACTTAGAGAAATAAGCACCAACCAGTTATCAGGTTGGTGTTGACCCACACTGATCCTCTAGGGGTTCTCAGAAGTAGATCACCAGACCTTTTTTTCGAGGCACCTCTGCATGGATTTGAACTTCCAACGTTTTGGTTAGCAGCTGAGAGCATTAGCTGTTTGCATCGCTCAGAGAAATGAAGACATCACAACATACCAGGAATAAGTAGAAAATGACATCTACTTTGAAGCAAACTCGAAACTGAAATTGGAGACTACTTCCTCTGGATTGGCTCACCGTCTCTTCTGTTTCTTCTTCCCCTTGCTCACTAATCTATCACAATATTTCCTTAGCTTCTACCCAACGAGGTACGTGAGTGAACTGCACATTTGCAGCTATTAAGGAATGAGTGGTGGAGTGCTGTTAAGTGAGGGGCAGAGAGGAAAAGTTACGCACTTGGTTAACTAGCATACCCAGCTGGGTAGGAAAGGTGATGAGACGCTCATTCTGTGTGCTCTACAGGTTTAGGTGAGACACGGAGAATTTGTGTTTGGACCAGAGGTAAATGAAGACTTGTTGAAGGAGGCGGTGTTTAATCTAGTCCTTACCGGATGGTCTGAGTAGGTTACTTCATGTATGATGATGGCATGTCAGATCAGGCAATTCAAAAATGAGGTAGACAGGGTACAGTTCAGCAGCCAAGTTTAATGTCGAGCATCAGGAGAGACATGGGGAATGACAAACTTTGGGGGAGCAGAACCCTCAAAGGGCATTTATATAGGGGTTGATATTTCAGTACTGTAACAGACAATATACTCTGTTATGATCTGTAATACTTTCATTGGCTGAATTTTACAAAGAAGATCTTCAGGTCTGAGTCTGTCTTGGTCTGCAAGCTCTGTTGAGACCTGTTCACCGTTCTTAAATCCAAACCCACTACTATGGAGTGGACTCCAACTCTTAGGGACCCAATATAGGATTTCCAAGACTATTACTCTTCATTACAGCAGATAATCTCCTGTTTCTCTCACACAGCTGCTGGTGGGTTTGAGCCACCAACCTTGTAGTTAATAGCGCAGTGCCTGACCTACAGTGCCATCAGGATTCCTTCCCTTAGCCCTAATGTGAAGTGCTGAGGAGTTGGTTCTGATTCATGGCATACCCTGTATAGGGATTCTGAGGAGCAGCTGGTGGTTTTGATCCGCCCACCTTGCGCTTAGTAGTCCAGTGTTGATGCTACAGCACCACATCAGGATTTCTATCTTTAGACAACCACTAATTTACTTTATTTCTCTCTGAGATTGCCTATTGAGATATTGAATATAGACGAAATCATATCATATGTGATGACTAGTTTCTTTCACTTAGCATAATGTTTTTAAGATTGGTCCATAGTGTCATATGTTGTTAAGTGCCATCAAGTTAGTTCTGACCCATAGTCACCCTGTATAGGGCTTCTGAGGAGCAGCTGGTGAGCTTGAACTGCCGTCCTTGTGGTTCAAAGCTACTTTGCAGTCCAGCACATTAACCCACAGGACCACACCATATCAGCAATTTCTTTGTATAGCTTGATATAATATTCTATTATGTGGTTATACCCTATTTTATTTACCCATTTATTAGTTGATGGACATTTAGATTATTTCCACTTTGCACTATTGTTCAAATGCTCATGCTGCTGTGAGCATTTGTGGCTGATTTTTGTGTGGACATATGTTTTCAATTCAAAGAGTGGTGTTGCTGGGTATTATGGTAATTCTCTATTTAATCATTTAAGGACCTACCATGGTACTTTCCAAAGTACCAGTTTACATTCCCACCAGCCATGTATGAGGGTTCTGATTTTTCCACATGGCTTTCATTTAGTTTTTAAAGAATATTTTTCTTGGATATAAAATTGTAAGTAGAGAGTTTTTTCTTCCATACTTTTAAGAAAGTTGATCCATTTTCTTCTGGCTTGCTTTGTATCTGATGTGAAGTTAGTGGTTTTTCTCTTTGTTCCCTATATATAATCTCTCTCTCATTTTTTTCCCTCACATTTTTCTTTTTATTTGTGGTTTTCATTAATGTGACTCATGAGTCTTAATATATGTATGTGTACACTTGTGTACTTATAGATGTGCACACATACATTCATCTTATTTGGAGATCATTGTGTTTTTTGAATCTGTAGGTATATCTGAACAAGAGAGTTTTTGGTCATTATTTCTCAAATGTTTTTTCCACGTTCTCGTACCACTAACCCATACAGACTTGTTATAATATTTGATATTGGAGTCCTGGTGTGGTGCTGTGGGTTAATGCGCCAGACTGCAAAGCCATTTGAACTGCAAGTTCGGTGGTTCAAACTCACTAGCTGCTCCTTGGAAACCCTATACAGGGTCACTATGGGTCGGAACCGAATCGACGGCACTTCACAACAACAACAGTAGGTCACAGGGAATCCTGGTAGGAAAAGCACTGGATTACTAACCACAAGGTTGGCTGTTCCAAATCTATCAGCTGCTCCTTGGAAACCCTAAACAGTGTTGCTGTGAGTTGGAATTGACTTGGTGGCACTTCACAATAACAGTGTACCCCCATTAGAGTCCTGGTGTGTCACTGTAGGATAAGCATTGGACCACCAACCATAGGGCTGGTAGTTCCAACCCACCAGCCACCCATGATCTCTACAGGGTTGCTCTGAGTTGGAACCCTCTACAGGGTCACTATGGGACACTATGACTTGATAGCACTTCACAAGCACAGGTCACAGAGGCTAGTTCTAGGTCACAGTTTCATGATTCTTTGTGTGTAATGCTTTACGATTGTATGTTGTACATTGTGTTGAGTATCTGTATTCTTGTGTTACCCTCCTTTGAAATTGAGTTTAGTTAGTTTTAAAATTACTTGTGGACAAGTTAGATGTTTTAGTGGCTTCTTCTTAAGCTTCAATGGGTCAGATATAGCATAGCCTTTACAGTAAGGCTGGCTTAGGCTGAATACTAAGGTGGGGCCCTTTTTAACGTCATTATGAATGCACCGGGCAGTCAATAGACTCCACTTTGCCTTGTCAGATTCAAAATGCCTCTCAGCCCTGTGTGAGTGTACAGCTTCTCTGTAGTGTGTTTCATCTGGCCTGTGAAGTCTCATGTTACATGCATGTTCCCTATGGAGATTTCAGGAGCTCTGTTTATATAGTTCACACTCTTCAGTACCCTGTCCCACAAGTTTTAGCCACCCTCATCTCTGTCAACTCTGAATTATCTCTTTAGCTCAGTAGCTTGAGTTCTTCTGGCCTTGTCCCTGCCCAGAGAGGGTCTCCATGAGGAAAGCCAGAGCAATGGTAGGGATCCTCTGGTCTGTCCCCCTTCTCTCAGAGATTGTGGTCGTTCACTGTCTATTGTCTCATGTCTGAACTATATATCCTACCCAGTTTTCTAATTGTCTCTGGCAGTTTCATGTAGTTTGTGTGGTTCTTAGGTGTGTATAATAGCATCAACTCTCTACCCGTGCAGGTGATTCCTCATTTCCAGGAGCTAACATTAGATTCCTTCTGTGGTTAATCAGCCAGACTGTGTAACTTTCAGCATATCGGCCTGTGTAGGTGTTCTAACACATGAGTTCATGTATAGATTGCTTTTGTGGTTTTCCACGACATTTTTTTTTTCCTTCTCGTGATACTAATTCTTGTGGAAGAAGTTCAGACTCTCTTAGGCTGTTAACTTCAGCTTCATTATGATTAAGGCAAATAGTCTCATTACATTTTTAGTGCAACTATTTCATGTTCGCTTGTTGACTGATGCTGTCGAATCCCGTCTTGATTTGTGGTGGCCCCATTGTTGTTGTTGTTGTTGTTGTTAAGTGCCGTCGAGTCGGTTCCGACGTGGCCCCATATGTGTAGGAAATGCTGCAGGTTCTACGCCAGCCCCACAGTTGTTTGTGAATGAGAGCACTCTGACCCACAGAGTTTTCATTGACAGCCTTTTGGAAGTGGATTGGTAGAAATGTCTTCCTAGTCTTTCTTTGTCCAGAAGCGTCACTGAAACGTGTTCCGCATCATAGCGACACACAAGCCTCCACCAACAGGTGGGAAGTCCCTGTGCATGAAGGCCATTGGCTGGGAATGAAACCCAGGTCTGCCTTGTGAACGATGAGAATTCTTCTACCGAACTACTGTCTCATGGGAAGACACCATTTCTGCATTGCAGAAACAGTGCTTAACATTTCCTTAATGCTTGAATTCTGGCATTACTTAAGGTATATCTTCAGGGTCAGTTGGATGATGTTGATTTTTTTTCAGGTGGTTAATATCACTCCTGAACTACCGTTTCTGTGCACTGTATCAATTCAGTGTCCTTCTAGGATGTGTTGGTCTTTCTGTGATTCCTGTTGGTCATCCTTCCTGTCACAGGTTGTTCAACACGACCCTTGTCGCGGAGGAGCAGGGTATTGGAACAGCCTCTTCCGTTTCAAGCATCTGGCGACAGGACATTACTTAGCAGCAGAGGTAAGTAACAGCCACCCCCCCACGCACCCCCAATTTGTGTCGCTGCCAAGGCTGACATACACACTTCTCTTGCCTCATTTGCTTGTAATGTTCAGAGAGTTAGAAATTTAGGGTTACATGTTTTTCCTCCTACTACTTTTCTGTTTTCTTCTGATTTCATTTCCCTGTTGATAATGAAAAAAAGAGTCCCTGAGTGGCACAAGTGATTTATTCACTCAGCTGCTAACTGAAAGGTTGGTGGTTCAAGTCCACCCAGAGACACCTTGAACGAAAGGCTTGGCCATATATTCTGGGAAAATCAGCCATTGAAAATGCTATGGAGCACAGTTCTAATTTGACACACGTGGGGGCGCCGTGAGTCAAAATCGACTCAACAGCAACTTGTTTATATAGAAAAAGAGGCAAAAATGATTAATAGGTTTTATTATTTACTGGGTTCTGGTAAAAATGTGAGTTACAAAGTAATGGTAGTTTTGATTTTTTTAGTTTATTTTTCTTGTATTACTTTCCCCATATCTTAACTTTACTAACAGCCCCATCCCTAACATAAATGATATATGAAACTGGAAGGGGTAGGATGCATGAATAATTAAAGGCTTTTATAGAAAAGTCTGCTTCCTTGGAGCCTTAGTGGAATAGACAGGCTTATCTTTTTCTTGTAGGAATGTCAAAATCAAAGAAAGTAACTTTACCTTAAATGTCTGTGAAGGGTTTTTGAGGTAAGGAAAAATTCATTGTTGAAGGACAGAAGGAATATACCTTTTAATTTCTGTATTAAATTAAGAAGCTTTCCTACTGTGTGACAGATGTCGAGTTTACTCTGACGTGTTGGAAGATGTACGATGTCTATTCATATCAGATTCTAGTCGTACATCAAAGATGCCTCCTGCTGTCTGATAATACTTCTCCCAGCTTTTCAAGGTGATGGTTGGGTATCAACGGGTGCTTTTGCAACCGACCCAAAGAATGCGGGATTTAAATGTACTAAACTCCCTGGGATGTCTGATACTTATAGGGATCGTTTTGAAATATCTAAGCACTGAAGTCTAAGCTGAAATTCTAAATGGAACTGTGGGGAATTATGGGAGTCCTGGTGTGGCTCTATGGACTAATGTGTCAGACTACAAAGTCATTTGAATTGCAAGGTCAGTGGTTCAGGCTCACCACCTGCTCCTTGGAAGCCCTGTACAGGGTCTCTATGGGTCAGAATTGACTCGACAGCACTTAACAAAGAACCCAGCTGTGAGAAATATTGGTAACTTGGTTTGCCAAAGATCAGCGGTGTTATGTACGGAGGTGAAAGTCGTTCTTGCTAAAGGCCTGAATTTTTTTTCTTATTATTTTTTTTACCAAAACTAGGAATATCAATGACTGGGCACTGCTCTTTAATTCATCTTGGGCTTTTCACTGTTGCTTTGCTAGTGAATTCACTGTGTTCCTTCTGTCTATCTTGGAGAGCCGTCTGCTGGTCACTGGTAGATTGTACTGTGTGTGTTGTACTCGTGTGACGTGTGTTGTTCTTGTGGCATGCTGGTTTTGTGAACAGAGGGAAGGGACAAGTACTTAGCTGTTCAAAGATGTATGCAGGCCGTGAAGTCTCCTGTAAGTGGGGCCGACTTCCTTGAGAAAGCAACAGATCTTTTAATTTCCTAATGATTCTTTTTCATCAGGTAGACCCTGACTTTGAGGAAGAATGCCTGGAATATCAGCCCTCAGTAAGTATGGGCAAGAACCTTCCTGTTTTCATCCGGTAGGGTGAGGTCAAATGATCTGAAACCCCTTTATGAAACTGCCACCACAGTCATCGTGTGCTGGGGAAGGGAACCTCAGATTGTTTTCAAAGAAGGTCTTATTCTGTGCTTCCCTTGAGGACAGTCATGTCCTTGATTGGTGAGACGGACTGTTGGTTGTGATGTATCTTCACATCTAAGTTGGAGATCATGGAATACTCCTGGTTTGGAAACTATGATGACTTTGTAGGAAAGGTTGGCCTTTTACAAATGTTTGTCCTTTTGCTTTTGACCTGAATGGTGACTCACTCAGGTTTTTCAGGGAATGAGTGTATGCTGTGGAGTGTCATTTGATCTGTGAAGGTGTCATATGAGGCTTTGCATACCTGCTTTCTGATTACACATCCTAGTGTCTAACTGTTTAACCTTGCTTGCTGCAAAATCAGAACTAGGCCTTAGTGTATACTGTGGTTTGGAATTTTAGCTCACAAGTTGATCTTTCCATGTAGACTGCTGAGTAATGCTGATAAACCTTATCTCTTGGGGTTCCAATGTCCACAATTATGGGTTGGAAAGAACAGTGTTGGTGTGACATAGAAAGCATGGATAAATGCAAGGTGGTTCTCTTGTGGAGTACTTGGTTCTGTTCTAGAAATTTTAAAAGTAAAACACCACAAAGCGCCAAACAGTTGCTGCTATCTTTGGAATCGTGTGTCCATGTGATGATTTAAGTGGTGGGTAGAGTAATAAGGTATTGAGAGAGGATTCTTTTTGCCTTTTTTTTTTAAGTAAAATTTTAGCAAACTTTAAGCACGTTGGAATAGGCACAATATGGAGTTAAGGCAGAGAGAATGCAAAATATAGTTATCTTTGAGATGTATTGTGAAGTCTGCAGTTAAAGTTAACCTCCTGGTTGAACTTGTGTAGAGTGTTAGTGTTGAGAGAGCTCAGAGGTGGTCTAGCAAAGGGCTTCTTCTCTTAGACTTGCTAGGGGAACAGTCCTCTCTTCCTGCTCCTTGATGGAGTACCTGAGGCTCATGCCTTCCTCTTGTTCCTCCTAACTCATTTCCAGGTTCCAACTGAAAAGCTTACCTTTCACAAAGAATAGGCCTGGGAAAACCTGCCCTAGTCTAACTTTCTGCCATCTTTTTGAAGGATGTGGTTGTAGATTTCATTGCTTACACACTTGGACTGACGGGTTTACTCTTCATGGTGCAGGCATTTTCAGAGGTCAGCTTTTATGGGATGTACGTCTATTGGCCTTCATGTTGCCATCGGAGGTAGCGCAGGTAAGTCTCACTTCTGAGATTACTCTGAAGGAGGACCATGGCTCCTTGCAGTTATGACTGATGTTCACGTTAACTGAGGCTGGCCAGTTTATGTGGGAGAGGGAAGATTGGTATTTTCAATGCTGGAGGAGGAGCCTCGTGAGATAGAATAGTGAAATCTGGTTTTAAATCTCCATCCCACCTCTGATGGGCTTTCACAAGTGACTTTCTTTCTCAGCCTCAGTTCCCTCACCTGTAGAAATAGGGTATAAACATATAAGGGCAAAGTGAGATGCTGTACATATTTTGCCCTCACAAAATAATAGATTCCATTTTGGTAAGTTGTACAATGTCATTATCATTTTAGTGCCTTCGATCCCCTACTAGTTCATCTAGTAGTGAATGGAGACAGTCTTCATGTGGCCGTTGAGGAAGCAGACACTGAGTCTGGTCCTGCCTTGTCATCTTAGAATCTGGATTCAGTGGCCCCCTCACTGGCCTACCTGGTCCCCCTCCTCCCTGCTGAGACAGAGGATGTGCAGACATTTGGGGTACATTTAGGCCACTGAGGTGTCGATACTCCAGGTATTGCTTGTGTAGGAGTTGAAGGTGGAGGAGTGGTGTGTGGAATGGGTGATACCCCAGACTCCCAAGGCCAGCAGCACAGCCTCATCCTCTTTTCACTGGAAACATTAACAGTGATGCTCAAATTGGGCCCACTGTGACAGGAAGGTTCTTCTGCTGTGCTCATTGGCCATGCGTTTCCCCGATCCTTGGCTTCCGGTGCCTGCAGTTCTGCCTCAGTCCCCATTCAGCCTGTTGTGACCACCCTCCCAAATTCAGCAGTGCCCTCCAGCCACTTGTTGGTGACCAGAGGGAGTATAAAGGGTTACCATGGACTGCTAGAAGAACAAACAAATCTGTGTTGCAAGAAGTACAGCCAGAATGCGCCTTAAAAGTCAGTATAGCGTAACTTTGTCTTTCACACTTTGAATATATTTTCAGGAGGAACCAGTCTCTGGAGAAGGACAGCATGCTAGGTAATGTGGAGGGTTAGCAAAAAAGAGGAAGACCCCAATGACATGGATTGGCACAGTGGCAGCATCAGTGGGCTCAATTGTAACAACAATTGTGAGGTTGGTTCAGGAGCAGGCAGTGTCTCGTTCTGTTGTGCATAAGGTTACTGTGTTGTTGTTGTTAAGTACTGTGGAGTCGGTTCCGAGTCATAGTGACCCTACACAGGGTTTCCGAGGCTGTAAATCTTTACAGGAGCAGACCGCTTCATCTTTCTCCTGCGGAACTCCTGGTAGTTTCAAACTGCCGACCCTGAGGTTAGCACTATGCTACCAGAGAGTTGGAACCAAATGTTTGGAGGCATATTGCATATACACCTTCCACCCACTAGGTGGCAGACACAGACTGGACATTGACAGAATTGGGCCTTAACTTCTCACACAGCTGACTTAATGAGCAATTTTGATTTTTCTCTACAATTCCCACAGGTCTCTGAAATATAACTGTCAGCCTACAGCCGAACCTGTGTCTCCAACCATAATCAGATCAGGATTTGTTTTTAAAATAGTGTGTGGAACACTTTGTATGGGAACCATAGTTAGAGAACAAATCCTCTTCTAAGTTTTTCCTCCTGAACTGAAGTTGTAGAGATGTTTCAGTACTCTCTAGTTATACCTGTAGCATAGTGGCTACGAATCGGGCTCCTAACCTCAAGGTCGTCAGTTTGAAACTACCAGCTGTTCCGTGGGAGAAAGATGAGTCTTTCTACTCCTGTAAAGATTTGCAGCCTCGGAAACCCTGTGCAGGGTCACTATGAATCAGAACTGACTCCACAGTACTTAACAACAACAGTTATACCTGTAGATAGGTCATGTCTGGTTTAAAAAATGATCTATTTTCTATTAGAGCTTATGGATCTGATGTTTTCACTGTAGATTAACATAACTACCCACAACCAAACTAAACTAGGGTTTGGTGAGACGAAAGTTACTAACTGCAAGTTATTTGTATCACAGGGCTCAGGTACAAATGATTAATGTACTTGACTGCTAACCAAAGGTTGGAAGTTCGAGTTCTACTCAAGGTCTATCCAAAGGTGCTTCAGAAGAAAAGCCTGGCGATTTGCTTCTGAAAAGTTTGTCTTCGTTTATATCTGCCCTGATATGCGTAGAGAGTAGCTAAGAATCTAACTGTACAAGTTATTGTTAGAGGAGAGAGTTGGGGGCGGAGAGGACGCAGAGAGGTTTGCGGTGTTAAAAAGACCGCGTTATTTATCTGTTAAACAGACGGGGGTTTTGAACTGATAACATCAGTTGCCTGCACTCATAGAAATCTGGCCCCATGGAATTAGGTTCTTTCATGCTCTCTCCTTTGCCTGTTTGCTGTGATTTCCTTTGTCTCAATATACTTTGGTCTTCCTGATGCAGTCTTTTCCCCCTCCTCTTTTGGGAAGGAGTCAGTGCCTTTCCCAGTGGATGGTGTCATCTTGCAAGGACGTTAGATCCTGGAAGTGATCCCACGTAGAGTCATGGGACTGAGCGAGGCCTTGTGAGGACTCCTGGACCAGTCCTTTGTCTGAGTACTCTGCTTCCACTTCCTTTGGCAGATGGGATTTGGAGTCATTGTGAAATGTTTCACTAGAATGTGTCTCTGCAGTTTCTCCTGAGAGCTCTCAGCCATGTTCCTCAGCCTTCAGTGTTGGAGGGTTTCTGCGTCTAAGTCCTGGTGAGGCCACTTCCACAGAATGTCACCAGCAGCCCTCCATGATCAATTATAGATGCTTTTTTCCAGGGCTAGTCTGACTTCTTGAATATTTTTCTTGGCCACACTGGGATTGCTGCTTACCAGCACTTGGCGTCAGGTTAATTTACGTGTCTTCTCTTGGGAAGGAGCTATACGGTGTTGTCTCATTGCAATTATCACCGTAGATTAACCTGGCTACTCTAGCACTAAACCCACAGAACACGTTTTTCCATAGTGCTTCTTTTGTCCCCAGCTACTACTGCACACGAACACAGGAAATGCTCAATCCTTTATCACCAACAGCGCTCTTTCCATGGAGACTTATGGCGGTCCCAGTGGGTCAGATGTTGGCATTGTAACACAAGGCAGTAGAACATCAATATGCGGATCCGCTGTCATCTTTCATGACTGCTCACAGACTGTGGTGCTGACGTTCACTCTAGATCCGTCTCTGTTCCTGTGCACTGTGGAATGAGTTTACTTAATGAAGGGCTTGGCCACACACTGTCTCTTACTTGGTGCCTTTTACTCCCCAGGTGGACCCCGATCAGGATGCATCTCGAAGTAGGTTACGGAATGCCCAAGAAAAGATGGTGTACTCCCTTGTCTCTGTGCCCGAAGGGAATGACATCTCCTCTATTTTTGAGCTTGACCCCACCACTCTGCGTGGAGGTGACAGCCTTGTCCCAAGGTAAGAGTTTCAATTTGATGATCCCAAGAGTCAGAGCAGGTGATGTGGCCTGGCCGAGTTTCTTGGAGTCTGTATCATTATTAGAATCCCCAGGTGGTAAAAATGGTTAAATGCTCAACCTCTAGACAAGAGATTGTTGAGTTGAACCCACCTGGGCAGACAGACCTGGTGTTCTGCTTCAGAAAGAACACAGTTCTACTGTGCACATGAATCGGAAACAACTTGAGCGATACCTACCAATAGCAACAAAGCATCAATGTCTTTTCTTTAAGTTTTTAATAAAGGATTTGGTAAGATGTGGACTGACTGTCAAAATGCATGGTGCCTGATAATTGGTGTATAAATTGTCCATTAGAAGTTCTCATTACTTGAGTATGAAGTGCCTACCAAAGATACACAGGCAAGAACTCAAGTAGCTTGATATTTCTAGTATCCTTCACTCCCTGCCTCCTTCCCCAAACCTGAGAAATATCCCTGGTTAATTGAATAAACAGAAGAAAATTCTAGAAAATGAAATTTCTGAAATTCACTTTGAGCACAGTAAATTTTATAAAAATTATTGAGAAGTTGGACAAGTATTCTTTGCCTCTTTTATTAAATTTCAGTCTTAGATTTGTTGCCAAAGATTGCATTTCTTGAGGAGTAACTGGACTCTAAAGAGAACAAAAGCTCATTTTAAACAACAGAATCAACAATAATAATATTATTCAAGGCCCATATTGACTGAGTGGTGACTACATGCTGGGTAAAATTCTAAGGCCTTTATATGTAGTATGTAATTTAATCTTCGCAACAACATCCTATAAGATAGAAGTGGTTGTTATCTGTGCCTTTTTATACATAAAGACACTGCGGATCAGAGAATCTTATAATAGAGTCCACAGACCCATCCCTCTCTCTTTTAACTTTTTATCACTTTTTGTTGAGTGAAGGTTTACAGAGCAAATCATCAGCTTTACATTGGACAAATCAGAAAGTTTCTTTCGTCTTGGTTGCAGTCCCTGAGTGTAACAACACATATTCCACTTCCTGCCTATGCTTTTTGTTTTCATTTCTCCTCCTTTCCTTTTAATTTTTGTCCTTAGGTAAATGCTGCCATTTTGATCTCAAATGGCTGGCTGTTCTCTGGTGTGCAGACCTTGCTGGGTTGTTGTTCCACCTATATACCTATCAATTTCTTGACTGAAAATTGAACCAGAGGAGGGAGTTCAGTTCCAGACCTGAAGGGTGACCACAGGCCATAGTCTCAGGTTCCACCAGTCTCTGTCTGACCAGTGCGTCTAGCCTTTTGTATGACTTTGAGTTTTGTTCCACATTTTCCCCCCACTCTATCCAAGACCTTCTAACGTGATCCCTCTCAGAGCCGTTGATAGTGGTAGCCAGGCACCATCTAGTTCTTCTGGTTTCAGAGTGCTGGAGACGGATGTTCATGTGGTCCACTAGTCCACGGGACTAATTGTTTCCAAGCCTCTTCAGTTTTTATCAGTCTTATTTCCTTAGACAGGGAGAAGAGTCCATACTAATAAATGTTCAAGACAGATAGGGTTGTGTGGGCAATTCTAACCTCTAAACTCAACTCTGGTTATAACTATTGGCAGTTGTTCATTTTCTCCCAACCTCCACTGCCCCCAATACTTTTGTTGTTAAGTGCCATCGAGTCAGTTACAACTCATAGCTTCCCTTATAGGGTTTTCAAGGAACCACTGGCGGGTTTGAATCTCCAACCTTGCATTCCAGTGCATTATCCTGCAATGCTGCATCCATTAATGTGCTTCTCTATATAGATGTGCCTACTAGACATTTCACATAAATGGCATCATAAAACAAACATATGGTCTTTTTTTACTGCCGTTTTACACTTAACATAATGTATCCAAGCTTTATCCATGTTCTAGTATTTCTCTTTATTGCTGAATGATGTTCTATTGTATGGATGCAAAACATTTTATTTACCAATATATCAGTTGTTGTATGTACATTTGGACTCCATCTTTTGCCTATTGCTAATAATGCTGCCATGAATATTTGTGTATATTTTTGTGTAATGATATATTTTCATTTCTCTTGAATGCACACCTAGGAGCAAAAGTGCTCGATCTTGTGGTAATGATGTCTAATCTTTTGAGAAACTGCCAAACAATTTCCTATAGTTACTACACCATTTTACAGTCCCAACAACAAGTGTGCAAGGGCCAAGCCTTCCACATTCTTGCCAGATTTATCTGTTGCTCTGATTATACTCATTTCTAGTAGGTGTGATGTGGCATCTCTTGTGGTTTTGACTCACGTTTCCCTGATAGCTAATGTTGATCATCTTTTCAGGTGCTTATTAGCCATTTATATATCTTCTTTGGACAAATACCTATTCCAACTCTTTGCACATTCTAAAAATTAGGTTGTTGAGTTGTAAGAGTCTTCATATATTCGAGGTACAAGCCCCTTATGGGAACAGTGATTTGTAAGTATTTTCTTCCATCTCATGGATTGTCTTCTCACTTTCTTGAAGTGTCCTTTGAAGCAAAATATTTTTTATTGAAGTCCAGCTTATCAATTTTGTTCTTTTCCTTTTGATTGATTGTATCTATTTTGTTGCTGTATCTAAGGAACCATTGCCAAATCCAAAGTCATAAAGACTTATGCCTGTGTTTTCTTCTAAGAGTTTTATCATTTTAACTTTT